TTCATATGATTCCTGTTCATATACATGTGCCAAAAACACTGTTTTTTATGAAAGCTGAGACGAGGCTGAAAGTGAATAACACAAATATAAATAAATATGTGGCCACATATAAAGTCCACGGGGGATTGTGTGAAGCACATTGCGTAGATTATTTCACAGGCGACTCTGTATAGCTCCTTGTGGCATTCAGATGCATGATGGGAAACAGTTGGTCAGCACCTGGCAGGCGACCAATCCAATAAGGGAACAGATTGATTAGATCCACGACCCCCTCCCTGCCTTCGCTTCTCCTGAACTGGAGCTGGAAATGAGATTTTCATTCACACCCCAAATCCAGCGGGAACACAACTCAGTAACGCTCTCAGAATCAGCCATGAAGCAAAGCAGGCTTTGACTGCTGGAGTGCAGGGGCAACATGTGTGTATCCGGCTGCGATTATGCTGATGAGGACACTATCTACTTCGTTACTCATCTTTTTTTTGCTGCGTGTGTGTGTGGTTTTTATAAGCGCACGTACAGCTGGATGCACGTGCGACCTGTGTACAGTATAAATACATCCATACATAAGCGCACACTTGCATGCACACACAGGCAGAGTCCCTGCATGGTGGGAAGCATGCTGTGTGTTGTAATTTCACCCTCTCCCTGCAGTGAGGAATAATTACACCGCTCACTGACTCCTCAGTCTATCTTCCCTGCTTCTCTCTCATCCTCATCCTCTTCTCTGCCCTACAACTCTCCCATCTCCCCTCTATCACAACCACACACACACACACAAAACCACACACACACGTTCAGACTCTCCCACATTTGGCTGCACTCCAGCTTCCCATTCTTCCTCCTCCACTCCCCTCCCTCCTTTATTCTTGCCAACTCCTCAAAGTGCAAATCTTTCAAAATGTACTCCTCATCATAATGCAGCCAGTCAGACATGTGTGAATATTTATTTCTTGCATGTGCGGTTGATAATTAGTTGGTTAATGCGTTAGTCAAATAAAATTAAACGACTCTAGTGATTAATCATTGAAGTGATTCATCACGCAGTAAATGTTGAGGAGTTCTTGCTTCTTGGCTGTGTGGATTGGCTGTTTTTTCTTTGTTTCGTATTACTGTAAATTCTACAAATTTGAGTTGTACTTGGCTGCTCGGGCAAAACAAGCCATTTATAGACGTCACCTGGGACTCCAGGAAAATGTGATTGCAATTATTAGAGAGTTGTGATTTTTCTGACATTTTATAGACGAAACATTCAGCAGGTTAACTGAGATATAAAGCAGGAAAACCCAGAAAACACCCCAAGCTGGGTTGGATTTGTTTTTCTCCTTACATTTCACATCTTTAGTCACTGTGGGCTCTTTTTTGCACTGTGATATAAAGTCCTGCACCTCTATGGAAACAGAACAACCGTGGTTAGAAGTAGAGAGAGCTCAAAAATGTCTTCTGTACAGTTTGACAAAGTTTTAATGCCATAAAGTATTAAAAAGGAATGAAGAATGTGAATTTCTTTCATTATTTGTTTTACAAAAAAATCTGGAATCAATGTGTACAACATTTGTCCAAATGCCCACAGATGTTACCAACACTGGAAAAAAAATGGTGATCATCTCCTTCTATATGTAGATATTTTACAGATATTTGACGACTGTTTAATCGTTTTGATCTGTTTCCATGCTTGTCTCCTATCTGGATTGTCCAAGCACTGCCTGCAGTTCAATCAAAAAAATCACTGAATTTTTGTCATATGACTGTTGGTCACCGCTGAGTCACTATCGGCCTCTCAGTTGTGCCGAGGAACGTTGAATTTTTATTTTTTTTTACCAAATCTGGTTAAAGCAAACAGTGGTGTTTATTTATTTAGCAAATTTTCAAATGAGATATGTAAAACAAAGTCATTTTGATGAAATATCTTGACTTTAAGCTTAGATTTGGTTACATTTTCCAACATAACAGCGTTTTACAGATGAGTAGTTCAAGGACCATCTGGAATTCATAAACCCAATGATTCTTTCTGTTTTTACAGTTTCTTGCTCTAATAAATGATGTACTTTTGCAGCTTTTTTTTTTTTAAGATAACATACTTTCAAACCTATCAGTGGCTCTTTTAGCTCAGAAGATTTACTGATTCTGAAAATAAACATTAACTGCAGCACCGGCTTTATTATGAAAGAACCAGTCATTTTTTCTTATACAACTGCTCATGTTTTGTACTGATAATTAAACCTGGAGCCTTTCATATCCGTTCAAGCTTTAAAAGTGCTCTCACATTTATGACACAGAAAATGGATCTGACCTTTACTTCTACAACCATAGATGCTTAAATGACTCCTCCCACTTCACTGCTCCATAAACCTCCATTAATCCAGTTATCTAAGTCTTTCTGCATATCAAAGCAACTCATGACATCCTCAGCGGAGGGCCCATCTCCATTTCTGCTGGAGTCAGGAAGTGTGTGAATGGATTTCTGCTGCACTGTGTTCACAGGAAAAGGCACAGTGTCAGCAGCAGGGAGATTATTGACATCGACACCGGCGGGATTGACAGCATTTCATGTTCTCCGTCATTCCATAAATCCCACCAATTCCTATGCCTAACCTGTCCCGCGTTCCACACACAACTTCAAATAAAAACAGCCTTTGTAATCCTTTGAAAAACCCCCGTCAGATTGATCTGTCTTGGCTGTAACAAAAGAGCCGATTGTGTTGGAAGCAAAAGTGCACACTTGGTCCAAGCTGCGGCTCCAGACAGGCCTCGGAAATTGTTTAAAGAAACAACAGGAATTTTCAGAGGTAGTTTGACATGAGCCTCCACAATTTAACCTTAGTGGATTTTGCTGAAATCCAACAAGACTTCAGACTCGATCAGGTTACAGGCCTGATTACGTTAGATTTCTCACACCTGATACAAAACATTAGCAAAATAGCAAACCTGGGAAACACTAACAAATGGTTAAACCACTCAAACTCCAGATTGTTTTATCTGTATTTGTAAAGATTGCACAGAAATTTGAAATATTTTTAAAGTCAACAAATGAAAACTGAAAATGAATCAACTGTATGAGGTACATGCTGCACCTGCTGCTGTAAGCTTCTCTAATGTGGGCATTGTTTGAGTTTTAACCTGCTGCTTGGACAAAACAGACAGTTTCAAAGTGTCATCTTGTGCTCGGAAAACATCTGATGGCAGTTTTGTTTTTTGTTTTTTTTTTCAAATTGTGACATTTTAAATATAGATCAAATATTTAAAGGTAAAGTTAGCGGTCTGCTAGCTGTCCCGTATATCTGTGAGTGTGGGTTTTGGGGTTTCTGAACGTCAGAAAAAACACCAAAATCACATCATTTATCAGAGCCAGAAACTGTGAAAAACAGGAGGAATCATCGGACCTTAAACACATCAACAGTCCTTGAACTACTGACCTCTTACATGGTGTTCGATAAAAAGTTAAATTAAATCTAAGCGTAAAATCCTGATATTTCTTGAAAATCACTTTATTCTAAACGTCTCATTTAAAAAATCTCCAGAAATCAAAAAAAACTCAAATTCTGTACTTCTCAGTGCAACAATCAACAAACAACCATTAGTGACTCAACTGCAAGTGACAATCATGGCAAGCATGCAAACATTCTGCCAAACTAGGCTGAACTGCAGGCAGTGTTTTCACCAAGCAGACAGGACACATAAATGGATTCAAAATGTGAGTAGTAAACTATCTTTAGTATCTAGAGCCACTTTTTTCCAGTAATACTGACATCTGTGGGCACTTTTTTTGCTTTTTAATGAATTGCGGCAAAAATGAGGACACAGTGAGGAAAATGTGAAAAAAAATGCTTGGGGTTCAGATGGTTCACCAACTAATCATCATTAGCTGCAGCTGATACAAGAAAAAAAAAAACCAGCAAAATAAATTTTTACTGGGATACTAAATTTCAGTGATAGTTTGGTGCTACTTTACCATTGAGCCACTTGGAGTTGTACTGGGCGGTCCGGAGGGGCGGCATGCCTCCCAGACTGCGGTAAATGACGGGATCGCGGCCGGAGAAGTCGATGACGGTGGCGGCGTACAGCTCTCCGCTCTCCGTCACCACCGCCGTGGAGTTGTGCCGAGGGTCGTACGGACAGCGAGCCACTCCGTTCACTCGCTCCAGCACGCTGCTCATGTTTCCCACCTGAGATCGCACGGACACGGAGTGGAAACAGGACAGAGGAGGGTAGCAGGTTAAATCCACTGTGGTTTCACTGGAATTCCACCAAATTACACATCCAAACACACGCTTAACTGTACCTCTCGGGTAATACATAGCGGCTGGAAGGCATTCGTTCCGCAGGTCATGACCTCAGTCTTGTTCACCAGCAGGACTCTGATGTAGTTCTGACATTCAATCTGCACACAAGCAGGGGGGGAGAAGACAAGTTAGAGTGGAGCACAAGCTGAGGTGGCTGAGGAGCTAAATACTCCAGAAGAAGAATGGACCAAGTCTTCTGCTACCCGACTGGCGAGCAATCAAAAGCAGAGTAATTCAGCGCCTGCAGCTTTCGCTCCTGTAAGTCCATTGTTCAAAAATATGAATGCTCGTTTGCCGCTAAATTGGAGGCCCATTTGTGACATCGACACAGGCTCCACAATAAGTCAAGTACGTGTTTCGGTAAAAATCAAATCTGTCTCAACAAAGGCGTGAAATTGATTTATTGGCCTCTGTGGCTAAGAACTGAGGTAATTGTAGTGATGCAGGTTGCAAAGAAAATTGTCTGTTTTGTGTATTTGGTGTCACTCTTCACTCTATAGGAAGAGATAAAAACGACGCTCTCACAACTGATCGCTGCAATTGTTATCAGACATATTTGAAAGGAAGTCCTTCTGAGTGTCTCTCTTGTGCACAGTTTCCTTCCCTTTTTCCTTTTGCCCTCTCGCTTCACTTCAAGAAAAACAACTCTTGATTGAAGGGTCTGAAATAGCTGTTCTGTACCGAGCCCTCCCCCGAGGCCCACGAGGGCCGCGCCACAACAGCCAGAAGATATCAAAATGGCCTCTCTGGAAGTCAGGCAGCGCTGACATGAAGTGTTGTAATTGGGGGCGTGATGGAGGTTACCTCTGTTTTGCCTTTGCTCTGACAGGACCTCCTGGTTTCCTCGTCCGGTGCCCATTCTGTCGCCTAGGAGACAAAAACAAGAGAAAGTCCAGGGATGACAAAGGGGGCCGAAGCAGTCAGCTGAGTCCTTCAGACACCACAACAAGTTACGCAACAACTGACTGTTGCTAATACTGTAGGCACGCTCAAAAAGACGCATGAAAAGACTTTAACCTCATTGCTGTTTGTTTATTGTGTAAACATGGTGACTGGCTCGCCGGCCAAGAGCTTATTGGAGGGTAGCGGGCGAGGAACGCAACGAGGCAGCTGAAGCACTGAGGACGGCATTAGCATGTAAATGGCTTTCCTTCTATCTTCTCCCCCCCTTTTCTTCGGCTCTCTCTCGGGAAGTTTGCAGCATTCACCTCCACTCCACCACCCCACCATCACTCCTACTGGCCAATTATATTCCTGTTGATGGTTATGCCGCGGGCTTAATTATGGATGCAGGCGGCGCTGCAAACACACTAATACACACACACACACACACACACAGGCTGCTTGGCCACCGGAGCTGCACTGGCTCTTGTAAAGAGGGTTGAGAGATGTCCCTCACTTGGCATGAAGAGTACATGAGCAGGTGCCAGAGGACCCCCTGTTGTGTGTCACTGGCCTCATTTTACTCATCCTCCCCCATCTACGCCTCTTCTCTGATCTCACTGCCCAAGTAGGAAGGTTAGCTAAATGTCCAAAAGTGAAAGAAAAAAAAAAAAAAGACTGCCATTGTATAGCGTCAATCCATCTCCAGCTTTCTGTTTGCCTTTATTTCTCTCCTCGCTAAAGAGATTACTATCAGGAGATAATTATTTAGATCGTTGTCTTCCCAGGACGATTGGACCAAGTTGTGACCAAAGTCCTGCCAACGGAGGCCAACCAAGAGTCAACACGAAACTGGGTCAAACTCCAGAGTAAAGAAATAAATGTGATCCACTATGTTCAGTCTCTGACAATTTCTGACTTCATTTGTCCCGTGGTGACATCGCTTTTGTTCTTTTTCTGGATCTTTATTGTGCTTTCATTAAAAGACACTAAAAACTGGACACCCCTAGGACTGTTTCCATTCTGCTGGGAAAGTGGACTTGTGAGTTAATCACTTTTTTTTATATTTTGCGATCCTCGGTGCAGACAATGAAGCTCTTTAAGAATTTAAATAAAACATTATAAGCACCTTTAATGAGAACTTAAGACAACTGCCAAAAAATTTTCTGCTTAAATTCACCGAGTGTATAAATAGATCTCTTATTTCGCAGATCATGGAGTCCATAAACTGGGCTTGCAGGAGTGGACGCTCATGATTTTGGATGATTAGCCTCCGCATAAATTGTTGCTAATGAGTGAAAACAGCAGACTGAACAGTACTACCCACAGCCTAATGAGCTAGTCAAACATCTGCACATTGTCCTGGGATTTCTTTTTCTTGCTTTAATACTAAGTTGATATTCATGGACAATTCATGACTGCGTGATTGTTTTTTGATTGCGCTGCCAGGACCGTTTCTGCTGCCAAATCGCTGCAGAGGAAACTGTTCCTCCACATTTTAAATGCCAGTCTTGATTGCTTTAGATGCAAATTAAAGTGCAACTAGTCAATATTGCTGGTATATGAGCGCCGAATCAAATTACTACATCTAATTTAGGATGTGTCCTGTTGTACATATTCAGATCCATCTGTTTGAGTTTACTGTATTGGATATAAATGTTGGGTGTTTACTTTGTTGTGGACATCTTCATGTTTCTGTGTGGAATGTGTGCAGGTTTTTCTCTCTAACGTCTCTGAGTTTGTTGGTTTAGTTTCACAGAACATTAACGTATGAGTGCGCTGATCAGTCTTATATCCAGACAGCTGTGTTCACTGAACATGCTCTGATAAATCCACTGTATACAATCTGCCCAAAACCAAAGTTTACATTCCGTTCTGCCGGAGAATGTAATAAAATCAGAGCTTCAAATTGTAATTAAAATCACTCTTTTCTACAGGTCTCATTTACAAATGTCCCAAAAATGAAACATGTGCGCTACTTGTTACAACCAGGAAGCAACCAACAGTTGGTGTAACAAAAGTTTAGGGATTTTTTGGTTGAACTGCAGGTTGCATTCACAGCGCAGAGAGTAAACAGCTACTGAAATAAAGTAAAAATGTAAAACTATCTATAGTATGGAGAGGCACTTTAAAAATCTTGTGCATGCTGATTTCAGGTTTTTACTGATTTTTGTAGAATAAAATAAACAACTTAAACTTTTTATTTATGTATTTATTGATTGATTTTATGATTTATGGGATTCTAACTGTCATGCTGCATAGAAGACAAGTTTGGAGGACAAAGTTGGAAACTAGCTGGTAGACAAATTGAAACATTAGCTGCCAAAGAGCACAGTTTGTTTCTGAGCTATAGCCAAAGAATTTCCTTCAGGATACAGTTTTATCTTTTCTTATATTTTTTAATCAACAGCCGTGGGTGATAAAAACGGAGTAGAAAACTGGACTTCCATTTATCCTGCGGACACAACAATTTGCTAACTTGTTGCCAATACAGTTTAATAAATCAAGGCTGTCGTTAAGTTTGTTTTAGAGTTATTCCACCCCATTATGTGGCTGAAAATATTACATAATGCGTCTTTAAATCTTATAAATCTACACCCTGAGGAACATTATTCTACATGTTGATTTTGTTTCAAATCACCTGTTGAATTATCTTGTTTTCAGTCCAAATCAACTCTGAAATGTCCGTTTCTACACGCCACTGTGTTTGTCCTCTCCTTGCTAAAGCCCAGCGCCCACCACACATGTCATTTGTCTTAGATAATTGCAAATGTAAAACTACGGCAGTCTTCCCACTGGAGCAAGTAATTGTAATGTCAGAGTGTCAAAAAGCTATGATTGATGCTCTTTGGAAGCAACGTTGGCTATCAGATGTCCTTGAGGGCTATCATATGGTGAGTGGTCAATCAAAATTGGTAACTTGTGTCATTTGTAGGGTGGCGTCAGCGATTCAATGCACACTATGGAGGACCAGTTGCTCAGTCTTGTTCCTTATGCTCTGGAGCTGCAGGTGGAGTTTGAACTTACTAGTTGCTGGACAGTTTTGGAACACTGCAGCGAAAGATGCAATGGGTTTTGGCTTTTTCTTGATGCACGCCTTGATGAGAGTGGAGAGAGTGAATCAAAACAAACTGCTGCAAGGGACTAAAGCCCTCCACTGAGCAGAAGGAAGAGGCAGCAGACTCCACTGATAATCTATGAGGCTGTCACTGCAAGCAACTCATCACATATTGTCATTTTCTCAGGAAAAAAAAAATCCTGAATAGAGCAGCTCCAAACGACTGAGCCAACGAGAAAAAACCCCTCTGTGACAATGTGCAAGTGCAGGTGAGAGGCGAGATGGAGACAAATTCATTAGAGTTATAAAGCTATATTAAGCCGCTGCAGCCGCTAGAACACCGGTAAGTAGGCTCTGGCCCATATTGATAGTTACAGCTCATCTCCCCGTCTCCCACAGCAGCTTCCTTCAATTAACCTGCTTCAGACTGCACAGGAGAAAGAGACGGCAGCAGGGGACGGCTATATAAAGTAAACTGTGATTAAAATGAAACTCGAGCTCCAGACACCGAACATGAAGCAGAAGATGAAATAAGAAAAAAAAAGAGAGAAAGAGAGAGAAAGCCACTAATGTGCTCTACAGGAAGCTCTACTTTCCAGTCACGCTGACGAGCAGACAGTCAACAAGCTAAAACTCTGCGTCCCCCGAGTGCAACGAACAGCGTGGCACCTGCCATTCAGGCTGGGCCCCGCCCCTCCTCCGCGGCAGTCCATCACTCTGCCCGCTGAAATGAAAACGCTGCTCCTCCACAGCCCTGCCTGTCAGCCCGTGACAGCCCGGGGACTGATGGGGTGACGTCATTGTAAACACACACACACACAAACGCAAGGGGAGGTGGATGCCTTCGCGATGAATCATGGCTTGGAAGCATTACCATATTTTCGGCAGGGCCCCGTCTCCAAGGATCCCCACCGGCTTAACCCGTTGACCTTCACCAGAAAAGTGCCACCCTCCCCTCGGTCCTCCTCCTCCCCCCCTCCGCTCTCTGTCCGTCTCTTCTTCTTCACACCACTCAGGAACAAAGCCACACTCACACAGAGCCTGTGAGAATACCAATTCTGCCTCAACATGCTCTCCCCTCAAATTCCTTCTCCTCTGTACCAAATCATGAATGGCCCTGGCCGCCATCGACTGAATGAATAAAAGCTGCTGCACACTGTGTGGGCAGCAGAGGTAAAGAGATAAATTCCCAGCCAGTGCAGAGGTTCTCATTTCGCTGGATAATTATTTATTTGCAGTGCAGACGAGTCCCTCGCAACGCACTCGCTCACTGTAACAGTCAGATCTTCATTAATTTAGTGAGAAAATGAGGTTAAACAGAAAACAAAAACTAATTTTAACCCTGTGAGTCAAGTTTTTAAGTGGAATTTCACTACTTTTACTTTTAGGCTTTTATCTCGGTCATTATAAGGACTCACCAAACATGCTGCCTCTTATTTTTTCCAGAGCAGTTGAGGCCATCCAGATCTTCCATCACTTAATATTATAATACTTGCAGATTTTTTATAAATTTGGCTTTATATCAAGAGAAACAGATTTTGTACTATGAAACTGTTGTGTTTTTTATGTGTATCTCAACATAAAATACTGGCAGTAGAGACATGTTTTCATAATTGTGTTGAGGAAACATGAAGCTGGGACACTGAATGACTTAGAACATGGAAAAAACGAAAATTACTGTCATTATTTTATTCACTGAAGTAGCCGCATACAGCTGCCTCCTTGCAGACGTAGTAAACCGGGTAAACGTTTGCTCCAAATAAAGATAAAGATAAAAATAAAGATAACTTTATTGATCCCACAGTGGGGAAAGTTCACTGTGAAAATTCCTAAAGTTCCTAAACTTGGTCCTGGACCCCCCAGATTCTAGGATTATCACTGCACAGATGACCCGCATTCATCTTTTCAACACAACTTTTGAATCATT